TGAACTTAGCTGGACGCGACGTGCTTCATCGCGAGACGGGTACGAGTGGCGATGTTCAAAAAAGGGTTGCGATGGAATGGCTTCAATGCGCCGGAATTCACCGGTGCGCACACACAGGGTATCGAAAATACATGGTGGGGAATCAAGCGAGGTTTGCCCCAAACAGGAACATCCAAAGGACTTTTCGATGGCTACCTACAAGAATATATGTGGCGTCAGCACTACGGAAACGATCCCTTTGGAAACATTATCGAACGTATCGCCCAACTTTGTGAAGTCCAGAAAGACTAGATACAAAGGTTTCTTTGCATCGCTGTATGCACCGGCCTTCACGAACAATTTTCATCACTAGGACACGAAAGGATAATGAAAGAATCAACCAAAATCACAAGAACAGGTAAGACACAACATTTATTTAAACTTTGCATTGACAAACTTCAAAGCCTGACCGTAGACTTAACGTTATTTTCCGGCCAATTTTACGCTTTCAAAGCGAAACTGAACATTCAGTTATATTTCAAAATTAAAAACCTCTGGAAAATTACTTGAGTTTTCTGTTTTGCAAAGCCAAAACGCGCCAAATTTACCCTGTTTCAAAAAAGACTTAGAAAAAAGATCCAAATTTTCAAAACAAAGACTACTAGTCTCTGCGGAGTTCTATTGTTATCGCTATTGTTTTAATTGAACAAAGACTGAATGCATAATTAATGTATGGGGTTATATGGTACTCTTGCCTTACTCTTAGGCACAGATTGATCATCTGCTTATATCCATTGTTTTGCTTAATTTTAGCCATGCACTTTCAGTCTATGAGGCATCTGAGTCCGATCGATCTTACGGTTGTACAAAATTTTTTACACCGATGTAATAAACGCCGTTTTATCTCATTTCCAGTTTTTATCAAGAACCTTTTAAACAAACAAGACTGAAACATTTTGAAGAAAAAAAAAATCAACGGATTGCCACCCCTGAAAGATATCATTCCTGTCCAGAAGACATATGTACACAATCTTAGGAAAAAAGGCTACGCACGCCTGGAAATTGATGCACAGCGCTTTATAAACACCTCTGTAGATAGGTTGATATTTAAGCTCCATTTATTGTAATGAAATACTTTTTAGTTCATAATGTAGATTTTTATGTTAGTTTTTCCGGATTTATTGTAACATAAGATATGTAGTTTTATCTTATGATGGAATAAAGACTTTATTTAGTGATTTCTTAAACCCTCTAAAATATATTTCAATTTTCTGTAGCTGATTTTCATACAGTTGAACCTGATTTAACTAGACATGTTTGATGGTGCGAATAGGTGGTTTGCAACCAATCTCTAGAGACACAGCTAACAATGGTGAAAGGAACAAATGCTAGTGAACGAACAAAAGAAGCTAATGAGATATATATTGTTTACGTCCAATAACATGGTGGCACTAACGTAACGTGTAAACCACCTAAGAGAATAGAACCCTCCAAATTTATTCGCGAAATTCAAGACTTTTAGGGAAACCGTACGTATTTAGCAAAATTCCTTTACGCACAGCTAACTGTTAGCGACTGGTACTAAATCCCAGGTCGAAGCTATGAAGAAACGTGCAGAATCAACTCCTTCGTAAAATTCTTCAATGGACAATTACGAATTCCTTCGAGAATACGACTTCCTAAGAAAAACGTGTTTCCAAGAGGAGACAGCGTGGCCAAGTGGTCAGCGTGGCCGAGTGGTCAGCGTGTCGGACTCACAGTCCATCGCTCCTGGGTTCGCGTCCCACGGGTCCCACGGGTCCCACGGGTCCCACGGGTCCCACGGGTCCCACGGGTCCCACGGGTCCCACTCTGACCACCATCTGGATTTGTTTCACGGTAGCTCCGAGTTCAAAACTTAATTCGGCCATGCTTGTAAATAGCCGACTGGTTTGCCTCCGGCTAGCTGGGATTCTTCATAATGTTATGTTCAATTTGAATTATTTGTTTCAGTTGTTTGTTCGGCCCCACTATCATTTGTGCTATAAAAACACTGCCGAGGGTAAACAAAAGTATTATTTATTTATTTATTTATTTAATTATGAGATCTCCTACAAAGATTGCGTGCGACTTACATTCAGATCTGAAAAATAAATTTTCTTCAAAAACTAATTATCTGCACAGGAAATATTTTACTCGTAACAAATATGTTCATTTCCAAATTGAAGTTGGTCTAAAACTAAGCTATTATCTACGTGACTGGGTAATTTTCTCCGAAATATGTTGTGCTATTGATGTAGTTACGAGTTACTTTTCAATTTACAAAAAAATCGGGCAATTTATACAGGCTCAGGTATCGTGGCCCCATCAGTGCACATAAAAAAGCTTTCTTATACACTTATCTATCCATATTTACACTATTCATTGATGAATTCGGTACTTCGTGCTCCTCAAAGTCAAATGAAATAAAGTTAAGTAAAAATAAGTGCTTTCGCTCTATCTTCTATGCGCATCCAGAGAAAGCGTAACAAAAGATTATATTTTGCTGACTTTTCTACAGCTAATACGAGAAGCTGAAGTTTCCTTATTTAAAATTTCCTTGATAACTTTCCCCTCGAGTACGCTTTCGCAGTCTGGAACATTTACAGTCGAACCACGTTAACTCGAATTGCCAAGGGGAATTGAATTTATTTCGAGTAAGCGGCGTTTCGAGTTAGAGTGGTTTTGAACAAAAGACTAGAAAGACTTGATTTTAAAAGGAGTCGTATGCTTTTGCATGTTTTATTGTAAAAAGAGCATGAAAACAACAAAACAAAACAAAAGAAAGTAATGACAAACAACAGATCGATTCCAGATTACGCGCCATTATTTCTTTTCGCCGGGAAGAACTGTCAAAACTGTTTGTTTACGGACATACAAAAGTGTGATATCCAGAAACGTCAATTTGTCATATTATATAAATGAGATTAAACGTAATCTTCCGGTGCAAATATTTTGGCTCATTAGTTCGCAAGAGTGAAAATCAACTTGAGTCATAGAGGGTAAAATTACGAAGAAAAGTACCTGAAGGGAAGTGAAAAATCGCTTTGAATGAGCGGGGTTTTGAGTTATCGGAGTTTTCAGTTATAGGGCTTAAAATTACAGTAAATCAGTATGAGGCAAATCCGAGGGAAATCAGTTGATTTTGCTTCGAGGTAGCGGAGAATTCAAGTTAACGAGGGTTCGAGTTATCGGGGTTCGCCTGTAACATGTTGATGATATTCAGGCGACTTTTACATTTATTTAAAACAGAACACTTATCTATCATAGACATTACTCCTTCCTTCTTCTGACGCAGTTTTGCGTTAACTTTGTCATTTTCACCGTTGATTTTAAGTCCTTTATTGTATAAAGATACGGCTTTCTCGAACTTACCTTGAAAGTCTTCTTCATCACTTTCATCCGAAAATTCCTCAGTATCTTCAATGGGTCTCTTTTTTTGGTTTCGCTATGGATTCGAAAACAGAAAGAAACTCGTATAAAAAGATCGCCCTTGAAATTCAGTCTCCGCAGGCGCCCTTCAATGCATCTGTTTTCAGTCTCTTTCTGACTAAACTGGAAATCGAAATTCTGCGAACCTTCGATCAGTGCTGAATGTGATGGAATAAAGTAAAACTTGTGTTACAAGGAGGTTTTGGCTGATCTGATTAAGAAATGTGATGACAGATCATTTTTCTTACATTATGACTTTTGTCTGTCTGTTCTTACACCCAAAACGGGGTAAATGTACATGCATTAGTATAGGTAATCGCATGGGGCCGAGTAATGTTAATCCTTAATTTTACGAGGAGCCATGTGATTACTTGTTTATAATATAATGGGCAAAATGTTTTCTTACTGATCTTGCGCAAAACGGGACGCCATTGTTACAAAACAAACAGAAATTTCTTTACCTTAGCAGCCTTTGCTAAGCGATTTTCAGCCAATCATTTTCAAGTAATTTTGCCCGAGGCAATTACAAAAATTAAGAAAAAATGCCCTCTGTCTTGACCAATTACAATTCAGTAATTTTGCTCCTTATATGATAACAAAAGGAACCATTCATTTGCCCGCAGGGTGGCGGAAACTATATAATAAAACATTGGAAGTACCTGTTAAAAACAAGGCTGGGGGTCAAAGATATATTTGAAAAAGTTTCAGTTGTTTTTCTTTGATTTGTTACAAAAGTTATTTCGTTACAACCACTAGACTCAGTCAACCCTGGCGTTTGGCATTCTACAAACTGAGTTGTGGAATGAAAGTGTTTCCGATTCCTACTCGTTGAGACAGACTAAGGTCAAAGTTGTTTTTTCCATGTAAGCTTGACTCGTTCGATTGGGAAAACTTGCGAAAATAGACGATAATTGAGTCTGGATAAGAACTCATTATCCACGAGGCTGGGCCTCCGTACATTTCACAGTTAGAATCTCGAAGAGGGATAAGTATTTCGAAAGATCAGCTTGAATGTATTGTTTGTCAATACACAGCATTTTTTCCCTTGAATAAATGTCCGCAGAATACATGCCGCGCCAAATTTCTTTTCGCAAAGACAAGTGATGATAGTAAGCAAAAAAATTAATTATAAATGAACGACCGTTTGGACTGGTTACCGTTGTAAAACTTTGAGAGGAATCTGTCGAAAACGCACTAACCCACGTTTCCGTTTAAATCATCTATTTTGTTCTAGACAAAACAACTCTCCACAATCACATCTACAAGCCAACGAACGAGCTAGGCAGATTAAGACCATCTTTTTTCCTAACTAAACAAAGGTCGAATCACGAGTTTTTGGTTTCTTATTCACATGTTTCCGGTCTTTTTAAGGTATCGCAACAGCTTGACGAAATTATTGTCTACAGTTTCCAACAGAATCCGCCCTTTCATAAGGCATAGGGTAAAATAT